CGGGATTCGAACCGGCAACCTTCCAGCCACAGGCGCAGATCCTCAGCCACAGTCCCACCGCTCCGCCCATAAGAAACAGGTGAAAACCAAACCGCTGCGGGACTTGCTATCTTACACGCCAGCCAAACACCCACGAGTCAACACTCCCCCGACTCCTTCTGGCTGAGCAGTCCCAGTCTCCCACTTTTTCACTACAGCTCTGGGAGTTCTCGCACTGCGGTGCTCCGAGCACTTCAAGGGTAATTAGAAAGTCCATTCCCTCTGGTTTGTTTCTGTTGCTTCCTCTCCCCCGCGGAGGCAGCCAAGGGTGCCGAAAGAAAGTTTAGTCATCGTGTGTTTTTTTCAATTCCTTCATCCCAATCGGTATGATGTAGGCTGGCCTCAGCTGCACTCCACACATTTGGTTTCACTTAAGAGGATCTGACGCTCCAGAATGCAAATTAAGGGACTGTTTTGTCCAAACCTAGCTGGCACAAGTAACTAGTAAAACCTGGAAGGCCACCACCAGGAAAGAGCGCATCGCGTTTCCAAAGCTGTACTTACGAGGGTTACGTGCTCTCTGACAGGCCACAAATCCCCAGCCACGGGCCGGCTCACGCCTGACAGGGCCAACTGCTCTGTTACAAACTGCCGCCCTGAACGAAAAGCCTCCAGCCCCATACTTAACCAGCTGTCTGTTTTTCACGTTCAGCAGGCTCAGACGCTGAGGACGAAGGCACAAAACAAGCGCCACTGATTAGCAATCAGACACACAAGGCCAAGATCAAACGCTTGGATAACTAGGATATCACTTTCTGACCTTTCGAAAGACCTGATTTTAACACTTGCTGGCAGCCTGTGTTGTGATCAAAATGACACTTAATCATGATTACATAAATACACTGTGTATTGGGTGGGGCACAGCTGGGGGGGTGGCACAGGGAGGATGTAGGGAGATGCTATGTGTGGAGTCTGCATGTTCACTCAGGGTCAGCAGTGGCTCTGTGGCTAAGGATCTGCGCCTGTGGCTGGAAGGTTGCTGGTTCAAATCCCGTGGCTGGCAGAGGAATCCTACTCCGTTGGGCCCCTGAGCAAGGCCCTTAACCCTAACCGCTCCAGGGGTGCTGTACAATGGCTGACCCTGTGCTCTGACCCCAGGCTTCTCTCCCTGTCTGTGTGTCTGTGTCTCCATGGAGAAAAAGCTGAGGTATGCGAGAAGATGAATGCCTAATGCAAGAAATTGTATAGGGCTAATAAAGAAACATTATTAGTGTGGGCTTTTTTCAGTTACATTGGTTTCACCCCGCCTCCCAGACACGTACTGTAAGTCATAACTGTCCATTCAGTGAGGAAGAAATCGTTCTCATTTCTCTTGGAAATCCATCTTTGCAGCTCATCTATCTTGGTGCTGAGGGATCAGAATCTGGGATCGATGGCCTGTGCAATGCCCAAACAGTTCAGTTCATGGTGTGCTGTCTGTGTGGAGTTTGCATGGTCTCTCCGTGTTCACCACGTGCTCCAGATTCCTCCCACAATCCAAAGACATGCTGGTGGGTTAATTGGCTTCAGTAAAACTGGCCCTGTTGTGAGTGTGTGCATTTGTGTCTGTGTACACCCTGTGATAGATTAGCATCCCGTTCAGGATGTATCCCGCCTTGCTCCCTGGGACAGACTCAGGGACACTGTGCCCCTGGATGGGATCAGCACTTACTGAAAGTGAAGAGAAGGGATGTGGATGATTAAAGAATGAGGAAGCAGGAGCGGAGGATCAAACTGTATTGGAGCCTAAGGTAAGGAAAGACGGCTTTGGGAAGTATCCTCACAGTCCATAACGAGGTTATCATGACATCTGTCCTTAAGTGTGAAAGGCACACCTCCAGCCCCCAGAACTCAATTAGGTTTCTTTTAATCCTTGACTCCACAATCAAAAGGAACTTGTCATGACGTAGCTAATGTATAACTTAAACATGCATCTTAGACATGAATTTTAAAAAGGCACTATACCAGACTAATGTTTGGCTTTCACCTCCAGTTCATGTGGTTCTGTGGCTGAGGATCTGCACCTGTGACTGGAAGGTTGCTGGTTCGTATCCCCTTAACCCCAGCTGCTCCAGGGGTGCTGTATAAATGGTTGACCCTGTGCTCTGATCCCCAGCTTCTCTCCCTGTCTGTGTGTCTCATGGAGAGCAAGTTGGAGTAGGTGAAAAGAAATTCCTGATACAAGAAATTGTATTTGGCCAATAAAGTGATCTTCTCTTCTCCAGCCTAAGGCAAGATAAAAATCGGATACTTCTGCTTTTTCTGGCAATACGTTAACTTCTGCAGTAATGGGGGGGGACAGTAAAAAACAGTAATGAAATCCAGAAAGGGGAGCGCTGACCTATAACCTCGGAAGAAAAGCCTCCACACGAAGACAAATTATCCAGCCTAAATCAGATCCCGGACTGCGCGCATTTTATTCAAGCACGTAACGAAGAAGTGACGTCGTGTGAGTGATCACCAACCTACAAAAACAGAAGCTTAAGACCTATAAATGCCCGCGATTTATTTGAATTCCCTAGGTTTGGGGATTGCCCGTCGATTGCAAAGTTTAACATTAACAACGCTTTGACGTTAAAGCTACTTTTAAGTCTACGAACCCGATCACTTCACATACATTTCATTAGAAACCCACAAGCAGCTGCAGTACTATACCAGCATTATCGACGGTGCAGAATACATTGTAAAGCATACTGAAAATACAAAGTCTATTAGTATTTTATTCGGAGAATACAAACGATAACAGCTGCAATATTTCTCCCCAAGTAACATATTCCGTAAGCCCCGAAAGATACCATTTGCGTTGTTTTCTTAAGAGCGTCGTTTTGCAGGCATCTGTTTACTTCCGCGAAAGCCGCACCGGAGCAAAGCGAGCGTCGTGCCCGAAACGCGATGAATTCAGAAACCGTGTAAAATCCCGACAGGGTGGACCGAGGGGCAGGGAACGCTACGAGGCTTCAAAATCTAAAATACTTATGTAATACTTCTTTCAAGTGTCGGATGGATTTTTTTTCAAATCAAATACACTTTATTTCTCAAAACGCATTTCACAGTAGATACACGTTCTAACAAACGATTAAAGCTAACATCAAATAGACACAACTTCCTAACAGGCGGTGATCGTCCATTATCAGTCCTTGCACGTGGATGATGGGGCCGGATTTGCGCAATGAGAGAGTCCCTACGAGCCCTATCACTTACTTTTGCCCATTCCCCTGTCCCGGCTCTGAAAAGGCGGAGCAGCAGCTCAGGTGACAGGGATTTCCACTAGTCTTCACGGATGCGTACTTATCGGCCCCGAGTCCACAAACGAATAGGGTGGAGTTGGACTGCACCACAGTGCGCTATTAGAAAGGGGCCCCCCATTGGTGAAAACGCGCCTGCTTGCGTCGCCCGGAGGTGGAGTCACTATTGAGCGCTCGGCACTATTTATGAAAGATTCCAGAACAGCTGCTGCTAAGTTTTTCTTGGTCAGGGCAGTAAAAGCAGCTGAACTTTCTGACTGACTGTTACTGGGATAAAACTAACGAGCCAGCATGCCCTCCAACTTCCTCACGCCGTTCTTGGAGTTGGATGACGAGTTTTGCAAGGTAAGGCGACCGCGGACGGGGCACTCTGTAGCGGCGGGATATTAGAGAGTGAACTCTTCCATGCGTCGCATCCAGAGACGTAGTTAACACAGAAGTCTTATTAGATGGGCAATTTTAGTCTCAGTCCTGCACAATGTTTTTTTTTTTAAATGACTCGCTCCATAAAATATGTTTCAAGGGGTATCGGAACATAGGATAATTTTTTTTTCCTTCGTGATACCGCGAAATAATAGTTGTTTGAAAAACTTTTCAAACAAATAGTTATTAGAAAAAGTGGCTATGGCAGTCGTAGTGTAGTTGTGTAAAGCTGCGATTTGTACCCTTCGGCACGACACTTTAATCATCGCAAGGCTATCGACATGCCCAAGTGGACACTCTGATGTGGTGACTTGAAAGTTGAAACATTAGCAGTCTGTAGTGCGGTCCAACTTTGAGCAGGTGTCTTATCCTGCACTCGCTGAGGTTTCAAACCGCTGTTCCTGATGCATAGTGGCATTTTTTACCGTTATTAATGCCGCGTTTAAGTCTAGTACCCCTGGCATAACTGCCTTTGACACAAGCCTGGTGCGACATTGTCTTGTGCATTTCAACGGGAGTATGTCAGTGATAGCGTGTGATCCATACTGTTATTTTTTTAGTTTTTGTAAGATGTTTAGTAATATTTAAAAGCGTTTCGAGAAGGCTGAGATACAAAACCCCGAAAATAACCGTTGTTTTTTCCGCTTTTCTGTAACACTGCCGGTCTTAAACATTAGCCTGACAGATGTGGTTGGATCATTGGTGAATTAAAACAGAGCGGTCACAACTAGAAATAGATGTGTCCGGTTCGGTATAAACCGTGCAGCAGGTTTGAGCAGTGTTTACTCTCGACATCTTATCGACCTTTTGGGTGCATGTAAGTCTCGTGGCGGCGTTTCCCTATTCAGATCACGCGCAGGTTCTTGTTATGGTAATAGCTTTTTTTTTCCTGCCGAAACACGTGCAGGTTCGCCTCCAGGTTTTCCTTGAGCGAGGGCTCATCTTGGCTCCCATTCCAGTTTCTAATAAAGGAATTTGGTTTTTTTCTCTCTTTCTCCCCCCGCCGTCACAGAACTTCCTCAGTCTGGACATGACAGATGGCGTAGCGCCCGGAGCTCAGAAGAGGACTGTGAGCTTTCAGCGCCGGCACTCCATGTCCCCCGTCTCCCTCCCCAACTCCAAGTTCAACAGCGGCAGCGCGGACCAGCTGAGCGAACCGGTGAGCTGGCCCGTGCAGCCCGGCAGCCAGAGCTGGAGCCGGGACCTGCAGCAGCAGTTCCCCAGGTCGTGTCTCAGCCAGATTCCGTTTCGGGTCGACCGCTCGGTCAGCATGATCGAGAGCCAGGTGAGCAACTTCGGGAGCGCCGGGCAGGGGGCTGCGCCGTCTCCCGCAGTCCTGCCGCCGCCTCCCGGGCTGAGCGCCAGCGCTTCTTCGCTGTCGCCTACCAAGTCGCCCGCTTCCACTCCCCCCGTCTCGTCCCGCTACAAGACCGAGCTGTGCCGCACCTACGAAGAGAGCGGGAACTGCAAGTACGGGGCCAAGTGTCAGTTCGCCCACGGGCTGGAGGAGCTGCGAGGCCTGAGCAGGCACCCGAAGTACAAAACGGAACCGTGCCGCACTTTCCACACGATCGGCTTCTGCCCGTACGGTGCCCGCTGTCACTTCATCCACAACGCGGACGAGCAGCGCTCCGCCCAGGCGCCCAGCGGTCCTCAGCCGCCGCGGGGGCGCCCGCAACTGCTGCGCCAAAGCGTCAGCTTCGCCGGCTTCTCGTCCCCGGCGCTCTCCGGCTTCCACAGCGCCCAGGAGCCTCTGACGTTCTCCAGGGCCTCCTCGGTCTCCCCCCCGCCTTCCACTGGAAGCCCCGACCTCCTCTCTCCCATCTTTCCCGAGCCTGGAGCTCTGAAGCACGGCTACCAGTTCGGCGGGGACGCGGGCGGCGACCAGCCGCTCACTCCTCGCTTTTGCGCGGTCAGCGACTCCCCCTGCGCTCACTGCGCTCAGCCTCCTGCCGGCCAGAACAGGCACAGAACTGCCTTCACTTTCCCGGGCTTGCCTTTGCTCCAGAGAAGCGCCTCCGCCGACTCCCTCTCGGACCAGGAGGGCTACACCAGTTCCAGCAGCCTCAGTGGCTCCGAATCTCCCAGCTTCGAGTCCAAACGCCTCCCGATTTTCAGCCGCCTTTCCGTATTGGACGACTAGAGGAGCTTGACCATTTAAAGTGCATATTGCATTTTCTCTGAAGCAGTTTCGCCACTGCCTTGTTTTATACGCGTGACTTTTTTTTTTTATCCAGACACTGTATACTGTTGTATACCCCTTTAGCTACTATGGGTACCGTTAAATTAGCTTTAAACTTTTTTTTAATATTGTCTTTCAGCGAAAGTAACAAGAAAGTTCTGTTTAAGAATTTTCCGTACCCATTTTTGTACTTTTTAATAATGAATGCGATAAAAAAATAACTAACTAGGGCTTGTGTAGAGACTAATACACATTGTAAATGTCTGTTCATGTCACTTACGTGTAGTGGCTTTGTATCCACGTTTAATGTCACACAAACAACTTCAAAACCGTGGTTTATTCCACACCTGAGCCCTTATAGTTTGTGTTGCCAAAGCTAATTAGAAGATCCGAGGTTAATAGAGTTAATATGTCTCTGTTTATTCCAAAATGTATGTAAAGTGTAGCCTTTAGTAAAGGCATCTTTAAAGACAGTATTATTGACTAGCCTACCATTTTAGTGCTTTCTATTTATTGGTATTTTTTGTCCTAAAACAGTATTGCTTGTATTGTTTTCTTACTGTGTGAAAATGTTACTGTTTCTTTTTTAATGCAATGTTAAATAGAGGCTTTAAAGAGTTCATCTTTGTTTTGGGCTATTTTGTAGCTTTATGGGGGAAAAAACAGACTTCCTTGAATGTAGGAAACGAGCTCAGGATGTTGACTAAGGAGAGGTTAGGAGCTTCCTCTAAACTGGAGAAAACTAATTTTCAGCTGTAATAGATCTCAAGAAACCATAGATCCAGAGCCAAACTGATTGTTCTTGTTACCCAAACTGCCATTTTTTAGTTTTAGAACTGCTGTTTCCAATTTAACCCATGTTCACAGCAAACAGTCCTTAGAAACTTCTGAAGTAATAGAAGAGTGTCAAAAGTAATTTTCGATGAATTTCAGCAGCTTGCATATGTTCAGAAGCACGGAATGTAAAAAGGTGAATATGCCAATGCATTTTGCAGTACTGGGGGGTTACATGGCACTCAGAAGACAAGAGTTGTGAGGCTGTTGTGGTAAACTGGTTCCAAAACAATACAAACTAAGAAGACAAATCCTTTCAGACGTGTAAAAAATTATGCCATTGGAGAAAATGGATGCTTCCATTTAGTCCCTGAATTGTACAACTTCTATCCTTCCTTTAAGTTGCTTATAGTTTTGTAAGAAAACAAAATTTTGTATGTATACCTGCATCAGACATTACTTTTTTTTAGTTTTTGATCTAGTGCAAACTTAGCCAAGAAGGATATTATACTGTGTAACTCTTGCCTTAACTTCATGACAGGAAAAAAAAAACAACAAGCTTTTGCATTTGTTAACTTAAAACCTATTTATTTTTCATCGTTCAAGCAAAAGAAAAAGTATATATTTTGTCTTTTTTTTCTTTATAATTTAAAGTTATTGTTTACATTCCATGGCATGGAAATCTTTGTTTTTATCTTAATATATTTGTACATTTTCTTTTTAAAATAAACCTGTTTTATTAAAAAGCATGTCCTGTGTGTGTTTGCTCTGGAATCATAAATCTTAATACTATTCAATGCATTACTTAAATGTTATGTAACCAATTAAGGACCAAAGCCAAACTGAGTGATATATTTAAATTAAACTTACTTGATTCCCCATTTATGTCTTACTTTAAAAAAAAAAAGTAGCAGTAATGAAGTGGGCTTTGCTTTTCTAAAATTTCTTACTTTAGGAAGCTTTGCAATACTTTATAAAAAAGAAAAACCCTTCATGGTTTTCTTCTCACAATTGCACACACTGAAGCTGTTCAGCAGTATTATTTTGCAAAGGGAGCCTGTAAACTTAGTTGCTGCAACCCAACTTTGGCATCTCTGATTTTGATGCAAGCAAACTGCGTCAGAAACGAACAGAAGCTCCCCATTCTTCTCCTCGGGAGCAACACGCACCCACAATCTGTTGAGGAATGGGCTAGTTGACAATTACTCTTCTTCTGAGAGAAACAACCACACAAAAAAGGGCAGCAGGGTATGCTTTGCAAGCAGCCTTTTGTGAGACCATTCTCTTCTTTCTTAGTAACATCTGTATGCTAATGCAGGTCATGTAAATGAAGTGGGGATGAGGATGGGACTATGTGCACGATTTGCAAGTCCATTCAGAGGCTAAAGGTCTTGAAAGCAGATTTATTAGTCGCCTGAGCTCAGGGGGTGGGGGGGGAATCTGGCTCTTTGAGTTGGGTGTCCAACTGTTTGCTGGGGAGTTTTGATTCCTTTTCACAAAGCATCTGAGCGCTCGCTCAGTCACAGGCTGCCACATAGAGAGCTTTTCAGACCCCAAACCCCCATCTCCAGCTCTGCTCTGGGCCGGTTAGCCAGTCGTCTTACCTTCCCCGGACCAAAAACGAATTTCTCGCCCGCGCCCAACTACGTGACTGAAAAATAAAGCAACGTTTCTGTGGTGTGCCTGGCAGCCAATGCAGAAAGTGAAAAGTGCGACACCCATCTTTAACATGAAAGCGGCATCTTTCATCGATTGTCTTAGGGGGGAGAGGCTGCATGATTAGTGCTAAGAGCAGTTCTGGCAACGGCTACCGATTAGGAGTTTTTAGAGCCACACTTGTAACTTCTGCCTGCTTTGAAATCAAAAGAAAGAAGCTGCAGTGTGCAAGTGACACAACAGTTGCATTCATCAGAGCACAGAGCCTGCCAGGCTCTCTCGCAGTTCTATTCCAAGCCATACAGCAGGGATGGAAACGTTGTTGGCCTGTGAAACCTTTAATGTCACCAACCATGAAACTGGTGCCTTTGATGTTTAGGTGCTACATGCATTTTACACAGGGATGTATATAATGAGTCATTTAGGTACAGAAAAAAATAGCCATGTGAGAAATGTTCTTGTATCCTGCTTGAGGCTTTTTTCCCCCAAAAAAATGTCTAACACAGTCCAAATAAACATTCTGTAGCAACAGCGGAATTCAGGTCTACTGTACTTTTTTACTTACTGTACTAAGTTGTTGTTTTTTTAATGGAGGTACATTTCAATGTTAATTAAGTACAGAAGGAACCCAAACCCTCCAAAAAAGACAAAACAGGCATAATTAAATATAGGCCTAACATTTGAAGGGCCAGCTTAAACCTACTGAACCCAACTTTTGGTCCTATCCATTGCACAATTAATAATCAACCAATAAATGAAGGCGGTACGAGCTTGTGTTTATGCCACTAATCTAAAACTACACCCAGAAAAATATGCTGTTGCTTTGACCAGCATCTAAGATCATTTCTAAATGATTCACTGTGTAGTTGAAGCTGACTTTCAGCATGTACTGATTAGTTCTCACACTCATGTAATCTGAAACCTACAGTACTGTGTTCAATAAGTGCCACGTGCAAGCCTTTCAAACGGCTCACTTCTGTGATTTTTTTCATGTGGTTCCGAAAAGTTTTCCCCTGTTCCCTTTTACATGTGGGTTTTTCCTCATTAAAGTCGGAGTACAGAAAGGACCGAGTGGTTCTACAGGCTTCTTGCCGGTTTAATAGTGATTACAGTAATTCAAATACATTTAAAAATGCATAACATTTAATTTCAGAGCCATTTCAATGAGGGCATAAAGTAAAGGCTGCAAACAATGCCTTTTAATGAAAAAGATGCTTCAGAGTATTATGCTTAGAAAGCTTATCACTGTTTAAAAATGATTTGCATACTCGAGTTATATTTTTACACCATTGTGCATAGAATTGACTATACCGTTTCCTGTTCTATAATGTTTAACATTGTTGACAAGGTTTGGGCAGAAGAGACACGTGAAAGATATTAAAATAAGACTTTAAAATAACGGTAAATGGCATTCTTTAATGTGTAAGAGCACGGATACAGTTTTCACAACTGTAGCAATAAATTGTATTAAAACCCGTCAGTCGGAGAATATTTGTAACGGTATCTGCTTCCACCTACTGGTTGAAATCACGCACTGCATTCCGTTCAAATCCTGGAGCACAAAATGAGCACAACAGCAATAAATGAAACTTCATAGGCATAGGGAATAGTACAATTGAGATAACACTGCCATGGTTGAGAATAAAGTGAATTGATGAGCATTGAACTCTGGGCCAATATTTTTAAACAGTCGCTCCTAAATGAAATATAGTTGATGTTTTAAGTTTAAGATGCACTTGTACGTTGACAGCGGAAACTATGTAAATACAATTTAACATTTTTCTTAACGATTTTTCTTTAAGCCATTTTGACATTAATGATCAATGGCCGTGAGCCACACGTGATGGTCAGCGCTACTGCCCCACAGCTCATGGGCTTGATGGCACAGAGAAGGGGTACCTTCCGTGTGGAGTTCTCGTGATGTTTCTCTCCAGACCTCTGGTTTCCTAACGGCCATCAAAGATACGATGGCTACAGTTAAAGGTAGTATTTCAAACTCTTGCTCGTCAGTCCGCCGGTGTAATTCCAGGTCCAGGGTGAAAAGGCGAAGGTCCCTCAGCTGGTTCCGCGCTCCTAGGACTGCGCGAGCTCTTCACCTTCGGAAAACCCAGCCTGACCGCGTCACAAATGCAGTTTCTGTTGGTGTGTTTATTAATAATAATAATAAGAAGAAGAATCCCTCGCACTCATATGGGGCTTTTCTGGACACTCCACTCAAAGCGCTTTACAGGTAATGGGGATCACCTGTAGCCCCACCTGGATGATGCGACGGCAGCCATAGTACACCAGTACTCTCCCCACACACCAGCTCTCAGTGGGAGGAGAGCAGAGTGATGAAGCCAGTTCAGAGAGGGGGATTATTAGGAGGCCACGATGGGTAAGGGCCAGGGGGTTTCAGTGCGCATAAAATACAAAAATACATGTACCGTTTTTTTTATTTATTTAATGACGTTTAAATCCATTTGCCAACAGACATGGAAATGTTGTTTGTCTTCAAACTCACCATAAAACCAAAACAAATATTTGACAACGAGAAAGCCCAAATCCTAGTTAGAAAGAACAAAAATCAAGACCGGACGTTTTCTTTGCGATATAGAAGCGCATGCACACCGGTGTTGTACGAAAGCAGTTTTGTTCTTTCTCCGCTTGTGTTGATTTTGGCGCTTTTAAACGAACCGCCGTCTCGTACTTCCCGGGCTGCGCAGCCCGCCGCAGCACGGTGCTCTGAAGTGGCGCAACAGCGCGGTCCCCGCGAGTGGCCAAGAGACCACTTTCTCAGCTGTACAGCCGGAGCTCCAGTGGCGCAATCGGTTAGCGCGCGGTACTTATACAGCAGTACGAAGCAGAGCAATGCCGAGGTTGTGAGTTCGAGCCTCACCTGGAGCACGAGTTTTTGCGGGGAAACTACCGCTGTTAAAAGCATCAACACCTGTGATGAGCGATAACAGTCCATAGCAATGCTACCGTGCACTTTAGCAGCAAGAACCTGGGTTATTTTCTTAACTTTTTTAAGGCCCACGCTGTTTAATTGCTATCTCAAAATGCTTGAACATCAAGAGTACAACTACAGTTTTGTCCCAACGAGAAAGAGGACAGAATAGCCGCGCCCAGTGAGTACAAGCGGTAATTCCGCGTGGAGTTTTTAAAAGACAACCGCCTATAATCAGATGCCATTGCCCGTCAGCATTAGAATTACTGTGCAGAAAGACCGAAGGCACCCCGGTACAGCCCCCTCCACCCACCACTGACGCACAGCGCCCCTGCTGGGTGACGTGCTCCTTCGTGTCATCAGCGAGCTCGAGCTGTCGGGTCTGCGGAGCCGCACGAGCCTGCGGAGCTGCGTTGCACCGGCAGATCCCCTCCCGTTAACTGGCATGAGTG